TTCATTGTCATCGACTCCAAGTCACAGTCAACTCATTGCTGGCCTTCTACATGGTTTTCAAGGCTGTACAGTGCACAGGAGGAGATTGCCCATATTTCTCCCAAGGAGCTGCTGGTGGATTTGAACCCACTGCCTTTGGGTTAGCTAACAACTCCCTACAGACAATGCGACCAGAGCTCCCTGTGGGCACTCAGCACACCTAGAAATGGCTTTCTGTTGTGCATGATAATTTTGTTTACAATTTCATTCTTTTGCCCCAAGTTAGGAACAAGATCTGTTCCTAACTGTGTCTTTAATATTTTAAGTGGAATTTTCCGATTAGTGGGAACAGATGCATAGGGCTTTTACTTAGCTTTCCTTTCCTCCTTGCTTCGGGGATGAAATGTGGGGCTGTTACCTGGAAGGCTGGCAGCAGCCACTCTGTGGGAGAAAGACTTACAGCCTGGATCATCCCAACAATTCCACTCCGCCCTGTCGGGAGGCTAGGAATCAGAATCTACTCTATGGTGGTGGAGTTGGTTTCCGTTTAGTCCAAGGCAAGATTGAAACTTTTTTTAAAAGTTCATGTGTTGCCAACAAAAGTGACTGTGGGGAAGATTATGTTGCCAGTAGTGGTTGGTCCAATGACTTCAAAGATGGGGAAAATTTACATTAAAGGGCAAGTTCAAGTGGTCTCTTAGCTAGACGTTTATAACTCAGAACTTGCCGACATATCAGATTGCAACAATCCACTTCCAGGCCTTCTCAAGGATATTTCAAAAAAACCCTTCATTTAGACTGGATCTCAGAAACAGCCTTGGACATGGCTTTGTAATATTCTGTTTTAAGTCTACTGTCAAAAAGTTGGTTCTACCTCATAACTGGCCCCCATTGCGTTTCTGAGGTTGTAATTATTTAATAAAAGAGATTGTCCATCAGTCTCCTAAAGAGTGTCCAGTGCACTCAAACTGATGGCCTTTCATTTACCAGCCTGACACTCAACAAACTATCCTCCTGGAGATCCTTTAAGATTATAAAAGGACCGTAATGGACTCTCAGAAGGTGCACCAGAGCCTGTGTGGATTCTGCATTAATGACGTGAAAAATCTAGACCTACATAATATGAACTAGCTGTCCAAATGCAAGCTATACTGACAGTCTGGCAAAGGAGCTACATATAAAGTCAGATGAGTAACTCCATTATGGCTTCAGTATTCACAGTGGCCGGGTTTTGCTTGTGTGTGTTGCTTACAATTACGTTTGGATGATGCTTCCCTGCGTTATTAAATCTTTCAGGTTCAAACTGAGATGCAGATCCCCCAAGGGGTGGGGGGAAAGGTAAACCGTTTGTTCGAGAAAATGTTTTAACTTAAACAATCCTTTGGAGCATCATTTAATGAGAAAGAAGAAGTCATTTCCTCAATGGTACTCAAGAGGTAAAACTAAACTACCTCCAAAAAAAGAATCTTTTTTTTCCCTCCTTCTGACTTGAAGAATTAAAACTGTTATGTTTAAGAGTCATCTTTTTCTGGCTTGTGGAAGCCACTGCTGGGGCCCTGGTCATTGCCAGTGAGACACATGATATTTCTAAACACAGAGACACAAAGCAATCAGCTGTCAAACTCAATTGTCGGTTTCTTGCCTGTCCGTTCTTAGGTGCTGAGATTTCCAGACTGCAGAGGGGGAAAGCCACTCTACCGTGTGTGTGTCTAGGAGAGTAGGACTTGGATTTGTTCATTTAATGATACAGGATCTGCTGGCTTGGCTGAACATCCATCTTCTCAAGCCTGATCTAATATCAGAGAAATGTCTAAACTCTGAAAAGAACATATAAAATCAGGCCCATTGCTGTCAACACACAGCAACACCACAGGACAGAGTAGAACTCCACTGTAGGATTTCCAAGGCTATTATAGTCTGTTACGTGTTGGGCTGCAAATAGAAAGATTGGTGGTTCAAATCCATCAGCTGCTGTACTGGGGGGGGGGGGAAGGGGGAGGAGTCACAGCCCCAGAAACTCAATGAAGGTTGCCATGATTTGGAATCACATCGAGGGCAGTGAGTGTGGTCTTTTGAAAGCTTTGTGGAAGCAGACTGTCCCGTCCTCCTCCTGTGGAGGGGCTCGTGGGTCCGAAGCACTGACCTTTGGGTCAGCAGTCATTTTGTCACCAGGACTCCTTTTGAAAATAATACATTGTCTTTAATAAATCATTCAAGATCTGACATTCCTTTGTGAACACTTCATGTAATTAATAAGGGGAAAAAAGAGGAGTTGAATAAAAAAAGAGAAAAAAAATGTAATCAAGTAGGTTGACAACCAGCAAAAGATAATTAAAATGGTCCTGTTTTTGTTTCTCAGTTTCATTAACATGCAAATGAGATTCATGAGGGTTGATATTGTGCTTCACCAAGAGCCATAGAAATGAATTAAGAATGAAAATGAGCTTCACTGATGGAGACTCCTGATGAGTCTATAGATTAATGAAAAAAGATGATTTGGTCCAATTAATGACATATCTTTTTTTGTGATCTATCAAACCTCAAAAAGATGAAATGAAGATAAACAGGAAAATGAAATACGTCATCTCATTCCATGGGAGACAGTCCGTGAAGGTCTCCACTGCTTGAGTACAGGACAGAGAGACCCCATTCCAAGACCACCATTGTGATGCCCTGTGGTTCTACTTGGAGGGCAGTGGACCCAGATGGCCCTCAGAATGGCTTTGCAGTGCTTGTTAGTTACCTTCGTGTCTGTTTCAATTCAAGGCAAACCCATGTGTACAAACGCTCCATTGATTTGTTCAAGGCTGTGAGTTTTCAGAATCAAATCACTTGGCCTACCTTCCGCAGCACCTCTGAAGGGATTTGAACCACCAACCTTCTGCTAATAGGCAATACTTAAATGCAGCACTCAAGAACAACTTTCCAGGGGAAGGTGGGGGTGGCTAAGAGTACATTGTGTGATGACTCAAGGCTTCAGAAGCACACGCAAGGAGAGACAGTCCAGTCTCTCTCTCCAAGGAGAGACTGCCAGCTAAGACTCACCATCAGGCAATTACACGTAACAGACAAACACTTTCTCCACAGCTATCGGCAACTCTTCAAATGCCTCCCCCACATAATAAAACAATCTCGGTTCCTACTTTCTATCAACAGACATATACTATGAAGTAAGTGATTCTCTCACTTACATAATAGGAGACGAAATTCTTTTAAAGAAACTTGAATTTAAAACGGTGTCAAATTACTATATCGATGTCTATATTATGATTAGCACAGTGTGTGACGTGCATGGTCTCTAGCAGATGCACACACACAAATGAGCCAGTGGGCGGGGCGCTCACAGGTTAAAACAACAGCCCGCAGGACGGGGTCCAGGAGTCAAAGGAAAAGGCCATGACGGACATGGAACGAGGGAAAGGGGTGAGGAGTGAGTGAAGCTGATGCTGGTAGTTAATTCTCGGGGTTGTTAGCTCTGTTTTCAGTGTGTGCTAGTATTGTCAGGCCCTCTACCCCAGAATCCATCGCTGTTGCTCTTGGGCAAGCCTTTCCAACGTGCTCTGTCCGGCACCGTTCTTACAGCTGCTGCCCCACCCACTGCCCAGCAGGCCCATTGCTGGTGCTGACGTGTCAATCTAACTGGCCACGGGTGTGAGGAGAAAGCTCTTTCCCGGTTGTGTTTGAGTGTCTCCCAATCTAATGGTCTAGAGGGTGGACAGTTATAGCGTTAACCTCAAGGTGGTGCCCCCCGGGCAGCTCGAGTCTACTGACCGCTCTGTGACAGAAAGGTGGGCAGAAATCCACTGGAGGGTCAGCTATGAGCCAGTTCCAACTTGACAGCAATGAAGTTTGGGGATTTATTTTTCTTTTCTTTTTCCATCTGAAGGGCTCACCATCTATCACTTTATCAGATGAATAAGGTTTTCATTGTCAAATTCTTTCCAAAGTGGATGGTCAAGACTGCTTCATACTCCGTGAGCGTGCCTGAACCCTCTCCTCCACGGGGACTCTGCTGAGACCAGTGCCACAGCTGTCAGCACCACAGCTACCCACAGGCTAGCACACCAAGGACAAAGGTGCACACTAGTGGCCACCCCCAGACCGACCGGAGCTGTAAATAATGTTTGCTTTAAAATATTACCAAAAGGGACCACAGTGACACTAGCTTTCTAACTCCATGATATTGTCTTCTAAGTATGTGAAGCTATAAAACTATCTTTACAATATGTGACTGTTGAATTCTCTGCAGTTTCTTTTGAACATACTCATGCAATCAAATGCAATCTACCTAAGACATAACAAAAAAATATAAACGGGGCCTTCCTACAGGAACCTGACAGCCTTAATAAGTTCCCATTTCTCAACAGACCATGTCAATCACGCTGACATTTAAATAAGAAGTAAAGGTTACTTATGTTTAAATAATCAGAATCTTTTAAAGTCACTTATTCTTGCAAATCCATTTCTGTAACTTGAAACACAGGACTAATTAAATATTCAGAACTGCTATATCAGTAATAGGGAGCTCTGATGGCCTATTGGGTAAGAAGTTGCACTGCCAACCCAAAGGTACATGGATCAAATCCACCAGCTGCTCTGCAGGAGAAATATGGGCAATCTCTTCCTGCCTCTGAAAACCCACTGGAGGGTCAGCTATGAGTTGGTTCCAATTGAACTGCACATTTACAGTAACATGTCAATAATGAGTGTGTGCTTCCTAGAAAGAATGGGAGTATGCGAGGAGATAAACTTACTTCTCATGACACAAAAGCTTGTCACATTAAAGAAACTTGAGTGCTTGGATGCTGAAATGATAATAGAAGATCTCCAAGTAGCATGCACGCCCTTGGCGTACCAGAACTGATGCTGATGTCAAGTACAGCCAAGCATTTCTGTACTTTGCTTACTCAGACTTTCATTTCACTTTGCAACCTATCACTCAGGATGATTTTACTAAATAATGAAAATGGAAAATTAATGAGATTCCCTGCAGGCCAGTCAGTGGAAGGAAGTAGACTTACCATCCCTTCGATTAAGCCTTGCAAATCCAGGCCCATGGCTGCTGGAGAGCTCAGAAGAACTGCTGAAGGATGCCTGGGGCAAAGCGGGCACCAGGGGTTCATCACAGTCATCTGCAGGGAAGCAAAGGCCACATTTAGACAGGATGCCGCTGACAACTTTCCTGGAATCAACAGACACAAGCAAGCAAGCAAGCAAAAAAATCAAAAGCAAATCAGGGTCTGGAATCGCAATCAATGTACCAGCTGCTTATTTTACTAATAAAATAACCGCAGTAGATTTTACTAGTAAAATAATCTATTGTGGTGGCAGAGTAGGTTCAATGTTGGACAGCTAACTGAAAGGTTAGCAGTTCAAACCCACTAATTGCTCCTTTTGAAGAAAGACAGACAGTCTCCTGTCATTAAGACTACCATTTCTGAAATCCTCTGGAAGGTCAGCATGAGTAGACATCAACTCGATCAACTCAACAGCAGCGGAGTTGTCTCTTTGTTAGAGATGACACAGTGGTGGCCCCTATGGAAAGGAGCTGCACCGCCAATCCCAAATCACTCAGTTCAAATCCACCAGCTGCTCCACAGGAGAAAGATGGACAACCTCTTCCCATGCAATTTACTGCCTCTGAAAACCCACTGGAAGGTGAGCTATGAGCTGCTTCTATCTCAGTGGTACACAACAACTAGAGATGGAGGAACAATTGACGTTGTCAAGGATTTAATTGGACTTAGATCTACAATTAGCACTCTTAGCAGTAGCAGTCAAGAAATCGAAAGATGTGTTGCAGTGGAAAAGTATGCTGTCGAGGACCTCTTTGCAATGCTAAGAAGCACGGATATGAGTTTAAAGACTAAGCTGTGCCTGGTTCAACTACTTTCAATTGCTTCCTTCTGCCTTTGAAAGTTGGATAACAAGTAAGGAAGACCAAAGAAGAATGCATTTCTCTCAATCACAGTGTTGGAGAAGAATACTGATTATCCACCAAGGACTGCCAAAAGAACAAGTCTGTATTGAAGGAAATCAGCCAGAGTCCGCCTTGGAGGCAACAATGGTGAAACTTCATCTCATATACTCTGGGAACATTGTCAGGAAAGGCAAATCCACAGGGGGGAAAAATGTGCTGGAAAAGGTGGTGTGAGTCAGCAGGAGACTTTCAACAAGACGGATCAACACGGCGAAGACCACAATGGGCTTGAACATGACAGAGATGGTGAGGAGGGCTCATGATACAGCGAGGTTGTTGAGAACTGTCAAGTTGGAACTCATAGCTGAACCTACGAAAATCCAGTGGGTTTTCAGAGACAGTAAATCACATGAGAGGAGACTGCCCATCCTTCTCCTGTGGGGGTGCTAGTGGATTTGAACCACATGCCTTTGGGATTGTAGCATAGCTTCTTATTACTCAGCCATCAAAGCTCCCTATGTATGTGCATACATATACGAACAAGATATTTATACACACACACACACACACACACACACACACACAGAGATGATGATGTTGTTGTGTGCCTTGGAGTCACACTCAACCCACAGCTGACCCTCCACTAGGTTTTCAGAGGCAGCTAATCACAAGAGAGGAGCTTGCCCATCCTTTTCCCACAGAACAGCTGGTGGATTCGAACTGCATACCTTTGCGATTGCAGCACAGTTTCTTACCACTAGGCCACCAGAGCTCTCTCTATATAAGGATACATATGCATATGTGTATTTTGCATCTATCACACATATTATTTTTTTAAAATAAAGACTTGAAGAGAAAAAAGTATAAGGACTATCTTATGTCTACCATATGCATGCATGCTTAATTTATTTGGCTAATCTTTGTAATTTTTACATTATCTTTTATTCTTTACAATTATTAAATTGTTCCCAGTTTTGCTTTAATCAGAACTGTATTTCACAGTGCTTAACACACAATGGTTACATAAAATAATACACGGTCATTGGTCTAGATGTCTTAAAGGAATAATAATTTAAATTAAATAAGACAAGGAATTATCTAGATTTATCTAGAATTTTGTGAAATTCATTCAGACCAGAAACCATTTGCTCTTGAAGGCCTTTCCCAAGAATTTCATTACAGAAGCAGTTTTTTAGACTATCTCATTTGAATTTAGAGGCTGCCAGTTCCTTTTCTAACACATTAAATTCTTCAGCTAACTCTTAAGACAGACCAGATTTCTGATTCTTGGTTCCTACTTGTTTACTGATTGGCTGATGGAGTGCCATCAGCCTTCTAGTTTGAACACCAGTATCAAAAAGAACAGACATAAAAAGACACACAATCCACAGAGAAAGAAATTCTGCCTAGGCCTAATTAGAAGTAACATTCAAAATGCTACACATTTTTAATCTCTGTAGAAATGATGGTATGCATCTGACCACATATCCCAGCTACACGTGTGTGTACCAATGTGTGCAGGTACGTATTAGAAACACAGTTATTTTTGAATCATTAGCATTATGCAATTCTAAATGTGACTCTCCTCTAACAACAACAACAGCAAAAATAACAAACAAACAAAAAAAAACCCAAACAACAACTCCAAAACGAAAAAAGGCTGATTAATGGCAATTCACAATCAACTGTGCAAGCAAATTCTAATCCATATTTTAGATATAAAAAGCACTCCTCTGGTGCAATCATTGCCGACTGTACATATTTATTGCTCATTTGCTTTGGGTAACTATAAACTGAGAACAAACATCATTTTACTTTTAGCTTGAAAAGAAGGGGTTTAAATAAGCTTAGAAGGTGGCTGGTTCTATTTATTAGGAGAAAGACTGGGATCTGGAAGACGGGGTCAGAGAGGGACAGGCAGGGCCTTGGAGTATTCGCTAACACTCTAATTGTTGATCTGAGGTGTTGGGCTACTAACCAAAAGGTTGGCAGTTCTAACCGACTGACTGGCCCAAGGAAGAAAGGTGGGAAATCTCCTCTCATAAGGATTTACAGCCTCAGAAACCAGACGGAGAGTCTCCATGAGTTTGCCTGGAGAGCAGTGGGTTTGAGTCTGGGGTCTGAAGCAAAGGTTCCATAGTATTATTCATAATATTATTCATAATACGAGCGTTTCATTTCCCTACAATCTCTTCCACAACAATAAAGCATTTTAAAGTTTTTTCTTGTATAAAATTAATAATAACTACATTTATCAGTAATGACACTGTGGTTTTTAGCTTTTCATTATTATTTAAAAGTGTAACATGAAACAGCATTCACATTTAAACAGTTTTCAATGATTCTATTAAAATATCCCTATTTTAGAGGGAAAAGAATTTGTGTTAAAACACTTTCGGACACACAACGCAAAGATTTATCTGTGGTTTTCAGGTTCCTATCTCGATTTACTCTTCACACACGAAACTATGAAACCATTGCCATTAGAAAGATAATAGTAAGATCTTCAGCAATTTCTGCACAAGGAAAACCTCGATAGCCTCTCAGGAATCAAAACACGATATGCTTAGAAGTGACTGAATATGTTTCCATTGAAAGTAATTCACTTTATTCTTTTTATTCGTAAGTGCCACTGAGTCACTTCTCGCTCAAAATGACCCGACGTCCAACAGAAACACACACTGTCCCTTCCTGCATCGTCCTTGCATTAACTGCTATGTTTGAACCTATGCTTCAGTAACTGTGTTGGTGCAAACAAGAGGGTTTTCTCTTTTTCTCTAAGCCTCTCCTTTACCATGGACAATGCCTTTCCCCCAGGACTGGTCTTTCCTAACAAACATGAGTGCATCTACTGTACATGAGATGAAGTCTTGTCACTCACGCCTTTTTTGTTTTTTAATTCTATTCATATTTTATTTTAAATGTTATTAGACATAACTACTGAATTTTATCAGTCCCTTTTGACATACATTTCTTCTTTTCTTTTGCAGTCTTTATAATAACTTTTTGCTTTCTTCATGAATAATATCCTTAATGTCATTCAACAATTCGTCAACTCTTTCATCATTAATGTCCATTGCCTCAAAGCTATGCTTAGTTGGTTTTCAAATTCAGGTGATATAGACTCACAATCATTTTTTGGTTCTCGTGGATTTGTTTTCATTTTCTTCGGGTTGAGTTTGAACTTGCACATGAGCAATTGATGGTGTTGTTGTTTGTTACGTGCTGTCGAGTTGCTTGCGACTCATAGCAACCCTATGTACAACAGCCCTAAACCCCGCTCTATCCTGTGCCAATAGCATTGCCTCTGACACACCCATCCCGATTACCCCAGTCACTGAATCAATCCACCTCACAAAGGGTCTTCGCCTCCTGTGCTGTCCCTCTACTCTACCCAGCATGATGTCCCTCTGCAAGGACCTGTCTCTCCTTGCAATATGTCCAAAGTATGTCAGACCAAGCCCCAGAATCTTTGCCTCCAAGGAGTAGCCTAGTTTAACCCTCTCTAGGATGAATCTGTTTGTTTTCTTGGCAGTCTATGGTACATTCAATACTCTTCTCCAGCACCACAGGTCAAAGGTGTCAATTCTCCTTCTGTCCTCCGTAGTCATTGTCCAGCTCTCTGATGCATAACAAGTGATTGCGAAGACCATGGCCTGTATCAGGCGCACCTTAATCTCCAAAGAGACACCATTGCTCTTCAGTACTTTAGAGAGGTCCCTAACAGCAGACTTTCCCATCGCAATACATTTTTTTTATTTCCTGGCTGCTGGTGCCAAGAGTGTTGACTATGGAGCCAAGCAAACTGAAGCTGTGAGCAATCTCAACCTCTTTGCCATATCCATCCTGATGCTACCAGTTGGTCCAGTGGTGAGAATCTTTGTCTTCTTGACATTGAGCCTCAGTCCATACTGAAGGCTGCAGTCCTTGACCCTCTGCAGTAAGTGCATGAGGTCCTCCTCAGTTTCAGCAAGCACGGTTGTGTCATCTGTATAACGCAGATTGTTGATAGATCTTCCACCAATCCTAATGCCACGTGTCTCCTCATAGAGCCCAGCCTCTCGGATAATCTGCTCTGCATACAGGTTGAAAAGGTATGGAGATAGGACACAGCCAGAGTATATCTTAGAGGAAACAATGGTGAAATTTTGTCTCACAAAATTTCACACTTTTTTTAGAATTTTTTTTATTATTTTTTTTTATTATTTTGTG